TTTTTTTTTCAAATCCTTGAAGATTATGCGAAATGCCCTGTTTTGCAGTAGGAGTCTACGGAGTGGAGAAGCGAACATTTGCCGCTCCCGACGAGGCTGCGAAGACACAATTAAGAAGAGAGAATGCCAAGAAAATGTATGGATCAGCTGCTGAGCGCATATTAGCAATGGAAACTCTGGTGGACATGCGGTTTGAGCAAGAATACGCTAAGAAGCGACCCCCACTATGGCCAAACATTCCTCTCAAATTCTGATTCGTTAGTTCGTGGGATATGTTCATGTATATTGCTTTCTCTCATGTTGTACATATCGACGCTGTGTTCAATGTAACTCTGGAAAACAGATAAAATAATTGTTGGCAGCTTCTTAAATAATGTTGTGAGCTGTGCAGTTCGTATACCTTTTTAGTCAATATTTCTTTCTTTTTTTTCTGAAGCACCATTACAGATGGCAAAGAAAAGAGCTCATGAAGAAGAGGAGGTGGAACAGCAGAATAGGAAGAAAATAAAATTAGTGGGTGAATCACCGATGTATCTTCGTCTGCTGTCCATTTTTGGTATTTAGGAAATTTCTAGCGATGCTAATGAGGACCTTGAGTCAGGTGTAGCGAACGAAAAAGTAGCTAAGAAAAAGCATAAGAAGGATAAAAAGAAGAAACGAGAATTTTTCAAGCAGGAGCTTGATGAAGAGGGGACGGAAGAGGTGTGAAAGCTTTTTTTCTTACGTTGACAAGGTGCTTCACTTTTCATCCTCACTTGTTTCACTCTGTTATTTACTTATAAATACTATTTTTTTCTAGAAACAAGAAATCGATTATTCACTTTCCGATTTAGAGATTTACGCGCTATATCTTTATAAAAGTTCCTCTAATTTTGCTTCTTCAGAATGATGACGCTTCACGCAATAAAAAGGAGTACAGGAAGAAGGCTAGAGGAATGAATTTGTCTAGAGCGGTCAGCTTTTTGCTCCTACTCTTGAGTTGATGAAAAGTAAACAATTTGGGAATTTGTCTATTTACAATCTCTTTTCATCTTCAGAGAGAAATATTGGATTTTGAGGAGGCGAAGAAATTGATACTGACGAACAAAAAGTGTGGATTGAAGGTTTTGTTAATCAGCCTTTTTATTATTTTTTCTCACATCTTCATTGCGCCCATTTCAAGGCTTTACGGGAGAAAAGACATGTTACCCTCCCATACCATCTGATAGGAGGAAACGTGATGAAGTCATGCGATTTTATAGCAAAAATGACTGTTGGGAAGTATCGCACGAAGTAGGTTACATTCATTTTGATCACCGAAAGAACAACTTATTATCTTTTTTCTAGAGTCAGAGGAGTAGTAGTTTCGATTGGATCAGTACGCCTCGCCTCACTCCCACGAGTTATTGACGATCAGAATGTTTGCCATATGGATATCTTTGTTACACAGGCTGTTTTCAGGTCGGTGCTGCTTTTCCCTTTTCTAATCCATATTAACAATCAGTACTTCTTACACCCGTTGACATGGACACATTGGCCCGGATGCCAAATTTCTATGTGCAATTAATGCCGATGTGGCGCATTTTGCTGCGGTTGTTTGTTGTTTGCTGTTTGAAATGTTTTGCTTTCCCATTTTGTGAGGTTAATTGAGTTTTACTTTTAGACCTGTGGTTGGGCAAGCATATGAAGCGCGGGTTACTCATATAGCTGATGATTTCTTATCCGCTCTCATCTTAGAGGCGATAGCCATCAATATGCCAATTGATGATAAATTACGAGTAAAATTGAAAGGTAGGCTTATGGTTCCCTTCAATAGAATAACAGTCAGACTAAGGACTTCGACAGAATTGCCAAAAACATCTATAGATTTGATGCTTGAGGACATTTGCAGCGGTTGTTGTAAGCAGATCCTACTTCATAAGCGTCGGGGACTTGCCGCTATCAAGTATTATAGTATTGAACATTCGGCGATATATGTCATGACAAGTCTGGAAGGTTTCATGCACTTTTATTTGGTTTAGTTCCAATTATTCTCAAGCAGGCTGATACAGCAGCATTCGTAACCATGTCTGCCGTCAGCAATGGTATTTCTTTCAATATTTCTCTAAACTACTTCATGATCAACTCACTAAATTTTATGCGTTCAAAAGAATGTGAATAAATATTTAAAATCTTGCTATCTAGCCTACAATATAAATTATATGGATTTTTGTTATTTGCTTGTCGTCTTCAGTTGGCAGGCATCAACGGAGTTAACCCTACTGTTGCTTTTTTTTTGTTAGAAATCAACCGTTGAATGTATAAGAAATGGCTCGCAATGAAGCTTTTTCATTTTTAAGTGTAGCCCTAGAAGCTTCTGACTGTTATTCTTTCCTTTGCTCTGCACCTCACTATTTTCTTTTTTAGGGATAGTTCTCGAAGTTGATGATATCATCGAAGTTAAGCATAATGCCATCACTATCAAGCGTGGTATTTGTCAACTAAAAGGAAAATTTGTGCGGATACTAAGAAAGGGGTAAGAATTTGCAAATAGTAAGACTTTTTCTATCATAAACAGTTTCGAAGGATCGGAAGGCCTTGTACACGATATCCAGACAGAATTTTTGAACAAGAACTTTTTTTCTAAAAAATTGTTTGCAGAGGTATTGATTTCATAGCTACTTTTAGTTAATTTTTGATCATCATCACTTCTGTTTATTAATGCTTCTTCAACGTTCATTATAATGAGGTCTACAGCTAATTTTAGATGCAAAACGGAAGAACCTGATAATTTGGTTAAATTGGAAGCGAAGGTGCATGGAAAGAAGACATTTTTTTCTGAATCAGACGACGACAAATGATCTCAAATGGTTATCTGATTCAACTGTTGTTTTGTGATGGATTATTGTTTGTTGTTCTTGTTTTGTTGGCTCCTTCAAATTCATACTTCTATCATAGCTTATTTCTGGGTAAATTGTACATAATTCTAGAAGAACGAAAGGAAAAATTCATTTTGCCGACCAAGTTATCCTAGAAATCGCAGCAGCAATGCAGAGTTGCCAAATCCAAAAAAAAAATTAATCTTATAATGCGACTCATTTTATTTATTTATATA